AAAAGTTAAAATACAAAATTGAAATTTTTTTAAAAAAACCAGCAAAGAAAGGAAAAAAACATAAAGCAAAGACGACAATGGAAAAAAATGCATTAAAAATCAGCACATATACACATATTATCTCCCCCCAGTTGAATACTGATTAATACATTATTATATTATTCCCACCCCTTGTGAACCCCCCCAAATTTTTAAACTACTGTCTATTTGCAAATCACTGACCTGTCATCTATGCACTATATTAATGATAAAATAGTTAATAGGAAACACGAATAATAACAAAAAAGTAAGGTTAAAGTTTCAAAACCCTCTGTTAACAATTATTGTAATTAAGTTGAAGTTAAGTAGAAAATTTACCACAGCATCTTATCTATCCCAAATCATCCTGAGAATTAAGATGGATCCTAGATCAAATATCCATGTTTGTTTCTTAATATCATCACTTATCAATTGTTGTCTGGTTAAATATAATAAATTCAGTCTCCACAATAGGTCTATCTTCCCAAAAGGTCCAGATGAACATGGTTTCCAATTAAGTATGATAAATCATTTCCCAACCTCCTTCAATCCTCCTAGGGAAAATCAATTTATCACTTCTTAATTCAATCAGGCTTTCCTGTTATAAAAGATGCAGCTTGAACTTCAGAGAGGCATATGCAATCGACTCTGTACAGTCTATAGCTATTTTCAATGGGTCTGCAACTTTCAAATCATATTTCTTTTGTGAATCTAATTTATCTAGAGCTATCTGCATCTGAATATTTTCCACAGCCATTATTATTTCATCAACTTTTTTAAAAAAGTTTTCAACTAAAAATTCTATCTTATTAAATAGTCTTTTTCTTGCTTGTCTGTAATCTGATACAGAGTTGCCCTGCATAGCTTAGCCAGGAAACAAAGAACACTGAAGCAAAGTGGAAAAAAAATAGGGAAGACATTTTCTGAATATTTCAATCCAAGATTAAAACAAAAATTAAAAAAATAAGCTCCAAATATTTTGCAAAATAATAAAATGCAAAAACACTGTGGTGAGAGTCCAATATTAATGTAAATCAAATGAAAACACTTTCACCATCCTAAAACACATGTTTCCTTATAGAAAGGTGAAAGTTATTAAAAATAACAACATAAATCAAAGGGGAAAAAACAGAGTCCACCAGAGGGTTAAAATAAATCAGCATTCAACCAACCAGTCAACCTTTAAAGATAAAAAACAAAATATTTAAAAAGTGAAATTAAAACCCAGAAATGCTTAAGAAAAGGAATTGCCAAAAGGAAGATGGATGTCCAGTGACTTTCCAACCACTCTAACAGGGAATTGGAATATTCAAGACTCCCCTTCCCAGATGGGTTCATGACCATCCAAAAGCTATCTTGGTCATTCCTAAGTGCTCCCATTCAAATCCAAGGAGCAGCACTGCCAGAGAAGTCGCTTTGGCAGCAAAATCAGCAGAATGTCTGCAAGAGAGAAAAAAACTTCTTACTGTTCAGCAGCCATCTTGGAGAGGAGTCTTATTCTATTCAAAAATATAATATTTGTTCATTGATTTATTGAGAAAATAATCCAAAGCTACATGCTTCTGTGTAACAAAAGTAAGTCTAAGATTATCAGTTCATTTAAACAAGAAATTAGAATCAGGTATTTCAATCAATGGAACAATAATCAGTTCTGAGTGTGGGAAGTCTGCCTTCTTTAAAGAACAGAATTCTGGGTATTTAATCTGAAACTCCAATCTTCACAATACAGAAATGTGGAAGTGTATCATGGCTTGTACAAAGGAGATTTCTGAGGACCTCGATGGATGAAAAAGGTGACAAAACCAATTCTAAAGAATTTAGACTCAACTGGTCCACTGTCAGATAGATGGGGTACAAATGGAGACAATTTAACACCACTGTTACCCTTTCCAAGAGTGGTTGACCAACCAAGATCATATTAACAGCAAACCATGTAATACGTCAGGAAGTCTCAAAGAGCCTGAAGGTAACGTTTAAGGAACTGAAGGTCTCTCTTGCACAGTAGTGAACATTGCAGGATAAAAAGAGAAAGCTGCTACACTCCAAAAGAACATTGCTGCCCATCTATAGTTTGCAAAAAAAAATATTACTCAGATAAGCCAAAAGGTTCTTAGAAAAATGTTCTATGGACGGATGAGACCAAAACAGAACTTTGTTGCTTGAACGAAAAGTATTATATTTGCTTAAAGGCAAACAGTACATTCCACCATAAGAAACATGGTGGCAACATCATAGTTTGGGCCTGTCACTTCTGGATCAGGATGGCTTAGCAATACTGATGGAAGATTGGCTTCTTAATTTTACAAGCAAATTCTACAGAAAAATGTTAGGGCATATCTCCATGAACTGAAGCTCAAGAGAAAGTGACATAAATCATATGATCAAAACAATGGTTAGCAAAAGAAGCAATTTTGGGTCATATTGACCATTTTCAAAATATTGAAAATTCAAAAACCTATAAGCACCAATGTGTAAATATATCCAAAAAACCATGAAAATAACTTTGATATTTTACTTTATTCTATTATAGATAATCCTTGACTTATAATCATAATGGAGCCTTCCCATTATGGTTTTAAGTTCTAACAGCTCTGTAAAGTGGGTTACCCACATAACTGATTTTATGACTTTTTCGGTGTTGGTCATTAAGCAAACACCACCATTGTTAAGCAACCCAATTGTAAGTAAATGCCAGTTTTCAACAAACATATCATAAAATATGGTCATGTGACTATGCTATAATGCAAACAGGTGTAAATGTAAGCCAGATATTGAGCTCCAAAAATGGTAGTCACATGACCAGGGGTATAGCCATCAGAACCTCAGAACTAGGTTGTAAATAAGTTATGAAAGACTTCAAAAGGTTGTAAAGAGACTGGCCATAGGTTGAGGACTACCTACAAAAGTAGCACATGACAAATCTCACTTGGGCTTAGAAAATAAGCAAAGTCCAGCCTAGTTTATATTTAGATGGATAGCCAGAAGAGAATACCAGACATAAACTAGTTTGAGAAGTTGAAAAACATCTTTGAAGCAAGAGTGAATATGAAATGTTTTTACAGATAGTCCTTGACTTGCAACCATTCATTTAGTGCACTGAAAATTATAACAGCACAGAAAAAAAATAATTTAAGCCTGATTTTCATAGTTATGACTATTGCAGAATCCCCATGATCATTAGCATTAATATTAGATCCTCCCACCTATGTAGTACATTGGGCAGCAAGGGATCTCCAGTATTTTCTATTTTGGGCAAATACTTCAGCAACTTCCTATGTGATGGTCTCAAGCCTGGATGCAAAAGGAGGAGGGTTAGGCATCAGGCTAGCAACCTGTCCCTGTAAAAATTATAGCCGCTTCAGAAACAGCAAGAAGAATCTCAAGAAAATTTAGCATCTATAATCAGGTGACCGAAATTCAGGTGCTTGGCAACTGCCATGTATTTATAACAGTTGCATTGTTCTGGGGTCATGTAACCTTCCCAGGCAGCTTCTGACAGGCAAATGGAGGAAATCAGATTTGCTTAACAACCACATGATTTACTTAACAATTGCAGTGATTTGCTTAATAATTGTGCCCAAAAGGTCATAAATGAGGAACAGCTCACCTAACAACTGCTTTGCTTAGCAACAAAAATGTTGGGTTCAATTGTGGTTATAAGTCGAGGACTATGTGCGATAAGAACAAACCCCTCTTTCTGTATAAACTTACTATTATTTTTCCTGTAAGAATCAGCCTTCAGAGATTATCTGACAATACAGAGATTTTGGATATACCTACATCAGAATGTGTAACACTTTTGAAATTAAACATTAGAATCTTGGGTTCACAACTCCCTCATGCTTGAATTATCAGTTTTACAAATTAAAAATGATTATTCCACAATTAGATATGGCCTAATTAGATATGGATAGGATTGGTCATTGTAATATATTTATTGTAATGCTAAAATTGGACTGCATAAAACAAAACTTGTTAAAGTGTTTTGCAGCATCTTAAAAGAGAACACATTACCATATTTATTACTGCATGGCTGTTTTATGGATTTTTCTTTTTCTTTTCATTTCTATGGATGAGTCACTCATCATTTCATCCAATGCATGAAGTATAGCATTCACAGAGAAGTACTGCACATATTGCTTTTGGAAGAAATGAACCCACAAGCAGTGGTTCTGAAAAAATGGACCCCAAAGGTAGGAAATGAAAATTTGTCCAAGATTTAGAATATCGATTTATCAAGGATTGGAGAAATCATCAAACTCTTTTAACAAGAGAATACAAATGGTACCATTTTAAGTTGTATATCTCAAACTGGATTGCTTATATGGATTGTTTATATGGCATTGCCTAAAACACTTGCACAAAATACTATCACCACTGCAGCAATAAAATGCTTAAGTATTAAATATGTAATCCTTGCTATTTATAATTAAATTCACTTGTTTGCTTACTTACTCACTTATTTACAAGACTTACATAGCTTCCTATCTCATATGATTGCTCACATTAAGCCATAAAAACATAAACGCACTGTAAAAACATTAAATAAAATTTAGTCATCAGGACATAAGAATTTAATTGCACTGATAAAAAATTGACCTTAATAAAAAATAAAAGAGCTTAATGATATATATATATATCTTTAGAAGAGGACGTTCTTTTCCGCATATATAGCCTTTCAATATACTTTCAGTATTTATTGTTTTTCAGTATTTTAGGACAACTGTTTTTCGTTTGTTTTGCACAGCGTGACAGCAAAGAGACCGCATGTAGCAAAATAATTATTTTCTGAGAACAGACAAAATTGGGAGACAAAATACAGTGGGAAGATTTTCTTTTACTTACAATTTGTTAAAGTGCTTACTTTATTATTCGTATAATGAAATACAAAGTATTCTCTAAAATGTATTTAACAGACTATAAGAAGACGAAGAAATCCTAATTAAAGCTAATGCAGACACCGCGCACATCTTTCGCATTACCGAAGGTCTTTCCTTTCTTCAGATGACTTTTCAGTTCAGACCGTCCCCAGAAAGTTTCAGTCACACAGGAAGATCTGTATCTCAGAATCCTCTAGGCCGATACACACGTTCCCAGGTCTTCCCAATATTGGTCTCATACTCTTAAGAACGCGTCCCGCTTTGCTTGTCGCTAGGTTACGCCACCTTACAGCGCATGCGTAACAGCAGTTTCTAGAGCGCTGAACTGCAGAATAGAGTTTCGCCAGGGGGCACAACTTTACCGTCATAGATCATAGACTTCTATTCATTAGAGTCATATAAAGTGAGACTTTCTAAGTTCATATTAGGCACCATTCTTTTTCTGAGGAATGGAATTATAAAATGTCATACAAAGCACATTAAAGGACCAATTCAGATATTGAAGAGAGATGGCTAGATAAACTTCCCCCACCTCTCCACAACCCTTTTTATGTATTTCTCAATTCAGCTATATTACTTGGTTATATATTGCTCAATTCAACCAACTATATATGTTGGTTACATTTTATACACAAAAGAGGAGTGATTTTTTAGTTTGGCAGAATTAAGATGGGTGGACATCTTAAAGTGCCAAATTGGGAAACACTGGTATAGAGGCAGAACCGTTCACATCCAAAGCTTTCTTATTTAAAAAGTTCATAGGATCGTAATTAGTAATTTGTTTCCAAATATGGGTAATTAAATAAGTGCACTAAGTTAAGCTTGGAAAGGTCTGAACGGATTTTATTGCGCTTCAATGGATCAAGCCCAAAAGTTCTTAATGTGAGAAAAGTCGCTTCGGAATCTAGTTTCATATTAACTAAATATAATCGCTATATTTCATAGATCTTGTCTGAGCCGGAAAATAGGTAGATCTGACGTGCTTGGATAGGAAAGATCAAGGCTGATCTGCTGCCAAAAGAACTACAAAGAAGAGTCCCTCAAATCGTCAACAGAGCTCGAGCTCCAGGCGGTGCTCGCTAAATGTTTATGTACGTCTATGCTTTCATTGTGTAATTGCTAGCGCATGCGTGGGGGGGGGTGCTGAATTGGTTGAAGTTGCTTAACCTTTTCTGGGGAGTCTGCCGTTCCCTCTTCCTGTGCCACAGCTTTGGTATTGTAAATTAGAAACACGATCCAGTGTTATTTCCGAATGCATTCTCAGTTTGCTGGAAGAATTATTTCTTCCTTCCAATTCTGAAACACATTCACACAGCTTGACTGTTAGCGACCCGAGGAGAACGGCGGGGAGAAGAGGGAATAATACTGTACGAAAAGAGAAAAACAATGAAACAGTATTTCTCTTCCCCCTGCATTCTCAATTTTAGCAAGCTGACGTCCTGCTTATTATTACTGCTAAAGAGCCAAAAGAATGGAACGTGGAGTAAGGACTAGTTAATCACCAGCAAATGCTACAACTCCATAACATGCAATATTATAACTCACAAGGCAGTATGTAAATACCAAGAAATGAGATACAGCAATGAAATGATACTCTTTCCTTAGCAAAATGCAGAAAGGAAAGAAGGAAGGAAGGGGGAGGAAGAGGGAAGAGAAGGAGGGAGCGAGGGGAGAAAAAGGAAGGAAGGAAGACAGTGAAGAAGGAAGGGGAGAGAGGAGAGAAAGTAAAAGGAAGCAGTCTGTAGTAGCAGCCAAAAAAGCTAATACAATCCTGGGGTTGTATAGATGGGCATAGAATCACACGAAGTATTAGTGCCGCTTTATAAAACCCGAGTGAGACCACACCTGGAATATTGCAACCAATTTTGGTCATCATACTACAAAAAAGATGTTGAGACTTTGGAAAAAGTTCAGAGAAGAGCAACTAAAATGATTAAAGGCCTGGAGACTAAAACATGAAGAAGGGCTGCAGGAATTGAGTTTGGCTAGTCTAAAGAAAAGAAGAAATGGAGATGACACGAGAGCAGTATTCCAGTGAGTCTACCACAAAGAAGAGGGGGTCAAATTATTCTCCAAAGCTCCAGAGGGCAGGATGAGAAACAATGGTTGGAAACTGACCAAAGAGAGAAGCAACCTGGAATTAAGGAGAAACTTCCTAACAGTGAGGACAATTAACCATTGGAACAGCTTGCTTTCAGAAATCATGGGCGCTCCATCACTGGAGGTTTTTAAGAAGAGACTAGACAGTCACTTGTCTGAAATGGTATAGGTTCTCCTGCTTGAGCAGGGGGCTGGACTAGAAGGTCCCTTCCAGCTCTATCTATTCCAAGGAGGAGAGGGAGGGAGGAAGGAAAGGAAAGGGAAAGGAAAGGAAAGGAAAGGAAAGGAAAGGAAAGGAGGAAGATCCATTGAGCAAGAATGTTTCTCAATCTGACATGCTGTAGATGTATTGAATTACTATGTCCATTACTTCCAGCCATCATATTTGAAAAGCGTAGTACTGGGGATGCTGTCCCAAATATACAAAATGTGTAAAAATCCTAAAAGTGGCCATTGTAGTCCTGCATATACAGTAGGAAAACCGTATGAAGAATTTTTCTATAACAATGCAACTTGAGCTGCCAAAACAATTGGAAAATTTGACCAGGGAGAGAATGAGAGCATACACAGAAACAATCTCTTCTATCTTTCTCCAATGTTCATGTATTCAAGCAGAACGTCTGAAGGGGAACTATTTGTGCTCATTTGAATAAGTGCAGCTGTCAGCATAATCCAAGCCAGGATCACACATAGAACCATATGTGTTCTGTCCAAAGCAAGTACTGTACAGTTTTCTTTCAAACTCCTAGAAGACTGGAAAAAAAGCTGGATTTGGATTTTAAATATGCACATATTCAATTCCACTATATAATATTTCTCACTTTTATTCACCAACTCAAAGCAACGTTCAAACTGCTACTTGTCTTCTTATTTTCCCCACCAGAACAAGGTAGCTAGGGCTGAAATAAAGTGTCTGGTCCAAAATCACCCACTGACTCGATGGATGAAGATGGACTGGAATGTGGTATCTTTGCTCCTCCTGTTCAGCATTTCAGCCATATTAAATAGTTGAACCATTCTGTACAGACTTTCAGGGTGAGAGTTGGAAAAGGGAGAAAAAAGGACAAAGAAAGGGCAATCACACTGAACCTCAAATAAAATTAACCTATATAGCTTTATATTATCCACTGGAGATTAATTTTGTGTTTCAAAGCATATGTGCAGATTCTGATGGAAGAAGGATTTGAAAGAGAAATTGTATTTATTTGCAATATCAATACATCACAGCAGGAAGGAAAAATGAGCAACATATAAAAGTCACCTAACTTTTCCTCCACCTGGTTTTGCATGAAATCTAACAAAAAATCGGTACATTTGGTTGATCATGTTTATAAAACTCCCAGGATAAGGAACCAGGCAAGCTATTTATACTCAAATGTAATCTAATACAGATAGTCTTTGATTTATGACTGGTCGCCTAGCAACTGTTTAAAGTTACAACCTACCTGAAAAAGGGGAACGTACAACTTGAATCCAATAAGGAACCTGGCAAGCTATTCGTATTCAAATGTGAGTAATCTTATAGAGGCAGTCATGATATATGACTGGTAGCTTAGCAACTATTTGAAATTACTATCTATCTACAACTTGGATCTAAGATTCCAGCAATGCCTTCCCAATAGTCACATGCCCACATTTAAGACATTTGATAACATGGACACATTTACAATTGTTTGCAGTATCCCATAGTCATGTGACCACATTTAAAAATGATTTGGCTGAAAACCAGCATTTATTTCTGGTTTTAAGCAAAACCACATCATAAATGGGTTCACTTACCACTGTGGTGTTCCCTTAACTATTGTGGTGTTTGCACTTAAAACCATTTAATGACTACTGCAAAAACTGTCATAACTGGGTCAGTCATGACCCATTTTCCAACTGTTATGACATATACCCGTAATGGGCAGGTTCCATTACAATCATAACTTGAGGACCACCTGTAAATGGATATAATTGAACCTGCTTTTGTATCCAATTTAGATCAAAAGGTACAAAAATCATCTAGGAATCTGGAGAGAGGTTTATGAACAAGTTAATGCCTTTTCCCTGTTTTAAATTTACTTATGGTACATGTAACTGATTACAGGGATCACCAGAATGCTAATGGAAATTGTTTTTCTTGCTATAATATGGTACTCTCAGTTTCTGATGTTAATGGTCTACTCAACAAAGCAGAAAATTGCATGGTAACTGGACACTTAAAAAAAATGATCTCCATGCATCGGTTCTTAATACAGTGGTTATAGGGGTGCTCTTGGAAGACAGCTGATAGGCCAGGTTAGGGACAAACAACATGGACAAAATCTGTCTATATTGCTAGTCAATAATGACTTGATGATTCATAATCAATCAATGAAGTTGTTATAAATGGACCGCACAGTGGACCATTGTTTTAAAACAACAGGAGCAGCAAATATTAATTGGCAAATAAAATATATTATCTCATTTATTTCCTGACATGGTGCCAATGTACCAGACTACAAAGGCATAAACAGGGCAATATTAAACTACCTATATGATATTGTGGATACCTTTGTGTGGAAAGTATCAAGTAACTGGTAATAGTTTGGAAAAAATTCAGAGAAGAGAACCTAAGATGACCAAAGGCCTGGAGACTAAAACATATGAAGAACAGCTGTGGGACTTGGGTTTGACTAGTCTAAAGAAAAGAAGAAATAGGAGAAGCAGTATTCCAATATTTGAAGGGCTGCCACAAAGAAGAGGGGGTCACGTTATTCACCAAAACACCAAAGGGAAGGACAAGAAACAATGGTTGGAAACTGATCAAAGAGAGAAGCACCCTGGAATTAAGAAGAAACTTCCTGACAGTGAGGACAATTAACAATTAACCAATGGAACAGCTTGCCTTCAAAAATCTCACTGGAGATTTTAAAGAAGAGACTAAACAGTGGCTTGTCTGAGATGGTATAGGTCAGTGATGGTGAACCTTTTAGAGACCGAGTGCCCAAACTGCAACCCAAAGCCCATTTATGCATCATCGAATGCCAGGTGGGTGTGGCCCATTGAGTGGGTGTGGCTGCCGTGGTAACAGACTGGGACTAAAAAGTTCAATCAATCAATTCCAACTTTGCAAGATCTTTTTTTTCTCGCAAGAAGTTGAAACTGACTGAACCCTTTTTTTTTTTTTTTTGCACATGGCAGC